ACTTAGATCATTAAAGTATTTTGCATTGCATCTGCTCACTAAAATATCATTTCTATTGAATACTTCCAATTGAAATAGAGCAATCAGACCTTGTAGACAACCTAATACACACATGCATTAATAAAACGTGATAACTGATTGGCAGAGATATATTATGAGGTGGAAAGTTTTTTTGAGAACTAGAAAAGATTGAGATTGAAAAGATTATGTGGTTTACAATGCCATAAGAATGCAGACAGCATGAACCTTCTAAACACATGGTGAACAGATCTTGATCTTACTCACTTCTTTGGCAAGACATTTCAACAAATGTTTCAATCCCTACCCAGCTGGGAAGATATACCAGTCTTACAGACAATTCTATAGGCTGAAAGATCCAAAATCTATTTGATTCATTTATATGTAAAATTACACACAGGGAGCAAACAGAAAGCTATTATTAAAACCGGAGCAACACAGATACAGATACACACACACACACACACACACACACACACAGAGAAGAAAATTCATTTCAACATGGCCTAACCAAAGGCCTCATGTACCAGGTGAGGCCTAAATACTAGCAGTTGAAAAAATAAATCACGCTGTCCCTGATCTCACAATCAGACAAGGTAGGCAATATATTTCTCAAGAAACTATAAATATATACAAGTCCTGAAATATAACATTTCAATACTCAAAATATTTGACATGGATTATAAAATAATTACATTTTACAATTCATTTTAAATTTCACTAGCTCAATAATACAAGAGCCCGAAGTTTCTCAAAACAGGAAGTGAAAAAATAGTGCTTTTGCGAAAAGGCAATGAACTGGACTTAAAAGAGTTCAAATGTTTAGAATTTCATTTAATCTTATTTATGAAAGTGAACTATTAAAAAGTTTGATTGCACTTATACTATAAAACGTTCAATTGCACTTATACTATAAAATGTTCAATGAATGCTTAAAAAACGGTATTTTGCCCAAATACCCAAATCACTTTTGATGTTACTCTCACTTCCTCTTCTGGAAACCATCATAACCATTTCCTTTAACCACAATACCACAGGTCTAGTAACTTTTTAGTAATGTCTGACTTGCTTGTTCTTTGGACAAAGTTCATACAAGAACCAATTTCCAAGTTTTTTAAGGGGCATAATCTCACCAAAAAGTTCAGGTCAATACAACCTGTAAGTATACCATTTAAAATTAAATTATTCCTTACCTACATAAATTTATAACTAAGGCTCCTCTGGTTGGTTATAAATGCAGAGCGTTTCTTTGTAATGACACTTAGCTCCTGCCACATAAAATGTAACAAACTGAATAGGCATGTTGTTGCACTTACTCTCCCCAATTACAGTGGGTTGAAAGTCAATAAATCCTTGCAATCAGTGCCAAAGGAACATAGCTGTCCTTATCCAAAATTTATCATTATTAAGCCAGGACAGTCATCTTAGAAATACAGTGTCTACGTCAAACTGTAGGAAAAAATCAATTTTACACTTGAACTCTTCGATATGAATTTCAAAAAAATAATCTTTCTTCAGCAGCCCTAACTCACAATACACAATCTAGTGCTCTGATTAAACTAAAATACTAATGATATATTAGAAAGGCAACAAAAAAATTACAAAGATATGACATCAAATCTCATTTGATTAGACAAAAAAAATCTTTTTACTATTCTCATTATCGAATTCTTTAAAACTTGCCAACCTTATCTTAAAACGAAAGGGATTTTATTTTCTCTCAAGATAAATGAATGTAATATTTGTTCTATCTTCTTTACATCAACCTTTCTCAACTTCCAGTGTAGTCTTCCAACTCCTTAATCTGAGGACATGTAAAGCTTTACAATGGGCCTATAAACTATAGCTACTCAAAATATCACACTGTGCTATACATCAGCAGCAACAGCAGCATATTTAGTCTTTATTTTGTACTGACACCGAACTTTAAGAAATGGTGCTTTGGTACTATCACATAGGGTTGGAAAAACAAGAAATGGCGTTTCGATACTATCAGATAGGGTTGGAAAAACTAAGATGAGGAGGAGTAAAGAGAGGAGAGAGAGAAGGTTGTTATTCCTGTTCTAGTGACTCACAGCCTAAAACTATTTCAGAAAATTGGTTCCACCCTCACTTCCCCCTCCTCCCCACCTTCAAAATGAAATAATCCCAAATCGTCAACACGCTCTCAAATGGCTTTCTATTTAGCAATCTAAAGTGGCAAAGTGATTCGGGGTTCATTCGCTTAGCCCTTCCCTTCCCACATTACCACACTTACACACCAAAAAATTGAGATGTGGGGTGTAATCCCTGTTCACTGCTGCCATCTCCGTAACAGCCTTATTCAATCTCAGTTACGGAACACGCAAGTTTTCCTATCCCCCCTACAATTTCGCCCACCCACCCGCCTCCCTCGCCTATGGACCCCCGTCCCGAGGGCAGGGGCGCCGAGGAGTGGGCAGCAGCGGCGGCGGCAGCGGTGCCCCACACCCCGTGCGGGGCCCAGCGCCCGATCCCGCCGCTGCGAGACGGGAAATGGCTTCTCCGTCTTGGGCCGGCCGGCCGGCCAACCACCCGGCGAGGCGTCCGGGACTCCGCATTAGGCCGCGGCGCATCCTAGCGACCCCGGAGCGGGCCTGAAGCGGCGACGCCGAGATTTCTGCCCTCGGCGCCGCCCGCCGCCCCCACCCTCCGGGCCTCCCGTGCCCTCCATCCCTCCTGGGCCCGCCCGCCCCCGCCGCGGCCTCGCCGGCCCGTGCGCACCTTCTTGATGTTGTAGAGGCGGGTGAGCATGCCGACGCCCCGGTCGTTCAGGATGGTGAGCTTCTCCGCCAGCTTCTGCTGACTGGGCTGCAGCACGGAGCGCGACATGGTGGTGGTTGTGGTGGTGCTGCCGCCGCCGCCGGCCACCTCGCACCCAGTCACCGGCCCGCGGCCTCCGTAGCAACCTCTCTCGGGCCTCCTCCCCTCCCGCCCGCGACCTCCGCCTCAGGGGAGCGCGCCCATGGCCCTCGCGCCCCAATCCCGCGCCAGTGACAGAGCGAGCCGCGGCGGACGCGTGGGGGCCCCTTCCCCCGCAGCAGCCCGCGTCCCGGCAGCTTTCTGCCTTCCGCCCGCCGCCCTTCCGCCGCCTCCCCCGGCGCTCTCCACCCCAGCCCCCAGCTAGCCGCCTTCCCCGGCTCGTCCGCTAGGTGTGGCGGCGGCGGCTGCGTCTCCGGCTGCTGAGAACGAGGCCGCTTCCCGCAGCCCCGGACTAGCGCTGGGTCACCTGATCGGCCACGCCGGCGCCCCCGCGAGGCAGGACGGGGAACTGCTGCCTGCGGGCCCTCGCCCGCCCCACCCGGCCTCTGTGCCGCCGCCGCGGCTCCGGACCCGGGCCTGGCCCGGACCGCCCACTGCGCCGGATGGGGATGGGAGTCCTAAGCGAGGACCGAGTGGGGTCGCGTTCTTTGCTGGTACCCGCCTCGCCCCACACCTCTCCCCTTCAAGTTCCCAAAAGTTGCCTTTCCCACCACTCCCCTAAAGAAACCAGCCGAAACACTGGGGGGCGGAGGGGCGGGATGTTTTTCAGGAGAGTTTCGCCTAAGAGTGGGCTGGTGGCTCTGAGCGCTTTCTCCTCCCACTGCTTGACAGACGCTCCCGCAGAACACAGCAGATGTCGTGCTCCGCAAGGCGGGCATCGCTTCTCCCAACCTCCCCATCCCAGCCTCAACTCTCCCCGCCTCAAGCCAGTTTGTGAGAGAGGAGGTCGGAAGTGAGGGCAACTCATGTTCCTGAGATAATCGGAATCTGAAACTTGTCGATCTGGAGCACCCATCCGGAGGAGATCCTAACAGGCCCTGGCATGTGGGAAGCAAAAAATAAATGAACGCTCCCATTTTTTTTCCAGCCTCCACCCTAAATAAATCCCACTCTTTCTTGGAAACATTCTACTTTTCATCTCTCTCTTTTTTTC